TGGTTACATACAGGTGATGTTGGAGAATGGATAAGTAATGGAGCATTACGTATTATTGATCGTGCAAAATATATATTTAAATTGAGTCAAGGTACATATATTGCTCCTGAACGTCTTGAAGATATTTATATTCGTTCTCAATGGATCGCACAAATATTTGTCGATGGAATTTCAACAGAAGCAACAGTAGTAGCTATTGTTATACCAGATGAACAGTATGTACGAAAAAATTTTCTATCAACACAAACGACAATGACATTTTTGGAACTGTGCAAAGAAAAAAAATTGAAACAAATTATTTTGTCTGATTTAATTCGTTTAGCTAAAGAAAACAAACTTAAATATTTTGAAACTATAAGCAATATCTATCTTCATTCTGAGCCATTTTCACTCAAGAATGGTCTTCTCACTATGACACTTAAAACACGTCGAATGAATGCTCGAAAACAATTTCAAACAATCATTCAATCGCTGTATAATGTTGATAGAACGACAACAAACAATCTATTATCAAAATAAAATTATTGTACAAATTCAATTTTATCTTGCAAATATCACTTTAGTTTGAACTTTTTAGATTCTTCTTTTGTACAATATTATGACGATCTTTTTTTTTGTTTATAATAGAAATTTAAATGTTATCATGAGCTTTTTTCTTTCTAAACTCGTCACATAGTATTGGATTGGTAGAGGGCACAAGCTACAAAAATGACTAAAAGATAAATCATAGCTATAGGTAAAATCAAGGTGTCTTCTTTAAACGAAAAATGAATTACGAATGAAAACGAAAGTATAGATAATCAAATAGTATGTCTCACCAAATGAAACTGATAATACAAACACCTCAGCTCAGTATCAAAATAGACTGATATCATTTCACACCATCTATCGTCTGCAATGTGAAATTTTCCACTTGCCATCCGTCACCTCATCCTACATTCATGCAAAACTTTCTGACATCAGCAATAGCCCATTTGACCAGACCATTGAGTCATCGACACATATTTCGCTGAGTCTCGGCATCGAAAAAATGAATAAATGGACCAAGATAGCATTCGAAATCAATCAACATAATGCCTTCATGCTTGTATTCTTTAAGAATCTCTTTAAAATTAAGCTTCGTTGAATTGAACAATGAAGAAAAGTTCAACGACCAAGACATGGCTAATTATGCTCTTGCCAGGCACGCTCGTGCACGTTGATCAGGCGATTGCGCAGTGCTAAGGCTGGAATGAAAGCGTAGTTGGTAAACAAAATTTTCGATATCAGCATTAATTGATGGTTCCTCGACATAGAATGTGTAGTTTCTACCGTCAAATTCTTTTGCAGACGTCTTCAAAGAGATTCAACAAAATAGATCAAGAATTAATTGCTCAAGTCAAGCTGATATACAAAACTCTTTTTTTTAAAGATTTGTACAAGGAAGCAAGAACTGAAATTCGATTTTCTTTATTAAACTGATTCTTTTGATCGAAAAAACAAGTATAAACACTAGATCTTTTTGACTTCGTATCAACGTTAAATCAAAAAAAAAACCAATTTAATCATGTTCAGCTTGAAGAATTTGATTGAATATCATAAGAAGACAGAGACATAACTTCCTTTATCGAATGATAAGAGCTCTTAATTATCTGTAATGTATTCTTCAATCATTTGTGTAATATTTATTTGTTTTAAATAGACTAGAAAAACATCAACAACTCAATAAGCAAAGACTCATAGAACGAAATTTTCATTCAAAATAAATGCTAAAAATATAATTAGCTGCTTTTTTTGTATCATACTCAAGAAACTATCGTTTCTATACTCGAATTTATCTTAATCCGTTCTTGATTTTTGCTCTAATTCTCAATATAATATTCATTTCTTTCAGAAACGAAGTTCTAAAAGTCAAAATCTCAAAATATTTCTATTTATAATGTTTTGTTATCATATCGGAAAAATAAATTTTTTCATCACTATATGATGAGTTAAATCAAAAAATGATTTCGAATACATGTTGGAATCATTGAAAATTTATGTTTTTGATATATTTGAATTTTATTCTAATTTTTCTAAGTTTTGCTAGAAAAATATCGTCTGAATATATTAAAAACAGCCTTTTTAAAGATAATTTGACGAGCTCTATATAACTATGGCAAAAAAAGCAAAACTTTTGCTCAATTTTTGAATTACTTATGAATATATAAATGAATATATTCAATTAATTGTTTGTTTTTTATACGTATGATGTTATTGTTTTTTTCCATGGCAAGATTTTTACTTTAAACACACTTATTACAGCGCCCTCACCCGCATGCTGTGATGTGCGTGTGTAATTTACACCAATCAATGTGAAGTGTGTTTAAAGTAAAAATGTACCTTAAAAATATTAATTTAGAAGGAGAATTATAAAAAATCGATAAACAAACAGAAACCGCTTCAAACCGGCGATTTTCCTATGAATTGCCGGTAACTGACAGTTTTGATGAAAAATTAACAACGTGAGCTGTATATCAATCATTTATGATGTAATGATGGTTGAAATTTTCATATTAATTTCAATTACACAAAAATAAAACTAAAATCTCATTTCATTTGACAAATCATAGTTCTATGGTAAAACAGTAATTCATTAAATCAATATTCATTAGTATTCTATTTAATTATTCTGACTTTAAAGTTCGTCAAAAGTAAAAATTGGTAAACAATTATGACAAAAAAAAAACACGTTTTATTCTTTTATCATTAATATTTATTTTTTTCTCTCTCAAACCCTCATCAATTAGATTTGAAGAATCTAAATTGAAAGAAAAAGCACGAAGAAATTTGAATAGTTTTTTTTTCTTTATGTTATTCGAAAAATTAACTTAAAAAATGTATTGCGTAATATTATTGAGAAAACCTTTTTCTTGATTTTATTGATATGAAAATCATATATTCTTCCTAGAGTATATTTTCTTTTTACAGTTGAATTGTCATCATGTGAGTTATGTAAAATGAATCATTATTATAATAACGGATAGTACAAAGATCTCTTTATTTATTTGTCCTTGATTGTTTTTAAATAAAAATAAATGACTCTACTTTCAGTTGGAAATTTGTAAGTAACACGAATGAGTCAATATGATTATGACACTTTTATTCGCTAAATAATACTAAGTCATTATTATTCATTTATTTACTTCAAAACTTAAATCAAGTATAAATAGTTTATAATAGTGAATTGATAAATAATTTCGTATCTAAGTAAGTAAACTATGTGTCACAAGTAATTTATTAGTGAAACTAATTTTTTGTTCAATATCGATGTTTATCAATTAATTTAATCAATATTTGATTTTTCTTTTTCATCAAATATATAATTCACAAAAATAACTCCTATGAATTTCATATCAATTAGTTTGAGCATTTGCTTTTAATAAATAGAAGTCCTATGGATACAAATAGTGATAGTTTCACAAATTCAATTAAACTTTTTTTTCTAATAGATTTCCTGAGCAGAATGCATTACGAAAGTCTTATGGAAAATTCTACTCAATCTTTTATGACTCATTTAATGGTAAGTAAATATCTATAATATCATGCTTTCTTTTTCCTTTTCTTTCTCTCGATTATTTCAATTTATTGTCCAAATAATTAGTTCATCATTTCAAAATGAGAAAGATTTTTTATAATTATGAGTCAAGTTTTGACGTCATTTTGTCCGTTAAGGTCCACCAAGTGCAGAATTTTAGGCTCATTACATATATATATATAAAGTTCTTCGATTGTGAAATCAACTTTACATATTATCAATTGAGTTTTATTTTTGTTTCAACCATTGTTTCTTTTTAAATTAATTTGGAAAGTAATTTTAATATTATTCAGTAAGTTTTATTAATAATGCTACGGTTTGATTTCAAATCATTTTATTAAATAAATATTGTTATGATAAAATCTTTATTTCTTGTGAAAAATATTACAAATTGTTGCTCTTATTTGAGTGGTTTTTCATTCATGTCATACTGTACTATAAATTATATATATATACTTGAATGTGTTCATTATTTTCGAAATAAATACTAGAATAAGCATTTGAAATCATTATAGAGCAGTATTTCAATTATTCATCATTCATAATCATAATTTTTTTTCTAAACTATATTATATACGCAATAGCCTTTTCTACATCCATCTAGAATTTTACGTTTTACTCTTGATGAATAACTTTTTTTCTTTCAGATTCATGACAATACTTAGTAATGACGCAAAAAAAATAACTATGTCCTCTATATAAAGTTTAGTTGTATGGCGTCTTCATTTGATATTAAAAGATCCAATTCAGCTAGCTAGTTGTGGTCATCGAATATATCAATCATGTTTTCAATGTCAGTATGGCAATGAATTCAACGTTTGATCTAAAAGTAGTAAATGAATCTATTTCGAACTCTTCATTATTTTCTACTTTAAAAATTTGAAATCATTACCTTATTTTAATACTAATGTGTGAATTTTAGATTAATTATTTATTATATGTTTTGATTTTAAAAAAATTCATTTTATTGGTTCATTTTGTTTGAAAAGTAATATGTTTGTTAGTTAGTTCTGACATTAATGAAAACTTTTCTTCTATTTATAGGTTATTCAACAAAAAAATTTCAAACAATGGTAGACTTTCATGCAAAAAAGAAATATATTTTTGATACAAAATATATTTGTCCTGCGTGTTCATTGATACGACGGGGATCCTGTACAACTGACTGAATGTGGTCATCGCCTATGTCAAACATATTTAAATATTGAACAAGAGTATATTTCATTATCAATTTGAAGTATTATTCTTCATTTTTCTTTTTTAAGAGAGATAATTAAATGTCAACAATGTCCAACAGAAACATTACCAAGCGATGCAAGACATCTTTTCGTAATTAAGGAGAAAATAATATTTCTTTTGTGTAGGTACGACTTGATCGAGGCTTCAATTTTCTAGATGAAATTGATATCGGAAAAGTCATGTTCTCTAGGTTATCCGTGCCAAAATGGAAGATCCTTTTTTGACTAAACAACATCAACATGCCCTACTCAATGTTGTTCGTCAAATGTTATTGCAATTAAACAATAGACAAATGGATACTGACCTTCCTCGAACAACAACTGCAGGAATTTGTAATCCTGCTACAGCTCAATTAAAAGGACTTTATGAAATGCTCAATATCTTGGTAGGTGGCATCAAAATATTGACTAATGATGAACAACGTCTCAATAATGAATCATTTCAAATGCCAAGTACATTTTCAACATTGACAGAAGAATTATTGATAGTTAAATTATCCATTGAAGAATCAAATGCTTTATTGGAAGGAGCAAAACATAATCAAGATTCATCATCATTGCCAGAAAAAGCCAATAATTCACAATATGTTTCATATGATGGAACATTGGTTTGGAAAATAACGAACTTTCGAGAGAAAATGAGTAAGTTGAACAATTACACTTGTGTTGAATGTAAAAATAGAAAATCTTATCGAAAAGATAATCAAAGAATAACATGTTATTTGATTTCTATAATATCGACAAATAATACATTAATGATTCAATGTTACATTCAACATTATATATATAATTACTCTCGAATACAATCTATGCGTAATCTATTAATGAATTGACGAAATGAATCATCAATGCTGTCGATTCATTAAATTTCTTTATATTAGCCTCTGTTTTTCTTCACGTCCTTTTTTTCTAATAACAGAAATAAAAAAAAAAGATGATTACTCTATCCAACTATTCGATTACTAAATTTGTTAAACTTTAATTTTTCATCATCAAATTGTGTTCAACATCTACAGAGATTTTATTTCAACATCTAAATCTATTTTTCCTCGTTATAGATCACATTCCTTCTTATTGTTCTATACACCATTCTTATCTTATTTATGTTCAGTAGATTTTCTTTTTTTCGATTCAAAATGTGCATAATTCGATCAAGCCTTCTAATCTTGTTCTCTCCATCATTGATGTGAAGCGACAACTACAAGAAATTATTAATAGGTTAGATAGAACTCAAATAAGAGACTGTTTTATCCAATCTCAACACTATCGTCTTCCTGCTATACAGCTTATATCGATAAACAAGTCGATGAGTGTACAAAACAGTAAAAATAACGCAAAGAAAAAAAGAATTGTTTTTTTCTCGCACATAAGCTGTGCTATATATACTTACGGTTAGTTGAATCGTTTCGAATCATACCCATGTAAAACAAATTTGGATTAAGAATTAGATTATAATAGTACCATTATAATCGATTGTCAGGCTCATTCTTAAGCTAAATATTTTTACATGGGTACTCATCACATCATACGACAAAATTTACATGATTAATGATTATTCTAGATGAATGTCTATTTGATGACTTTCGAGATGTTACCAGACGAAATAATATTATACGTCTGTCGATATCTTCGTAGAACCGATGTTATCTATTCTTTTTCCAATTTGAATACACGTCTCACTAGAACAATAACAGATTATTATCGTTATTTGCATTTAACGGGTTATAGCTATCAGAGATTTAATTATGTCGTCTCACAAGTATTGCCTCAGATCGGTTGTTCTTCTCAATCTCTTCAACTAAATGGTAATTGGCAGACAATGATGCCATCTAAAGCTTTCGTTATTCTTTTTGGTTTGCCAATATCCTATACATTTCCATATCTGCAACGTTTGGTGCTCAAATGGTTCACATGCGAAAAGCTTATGCCATTCCTTAATAATCTTCGAAATCTTTCGAGGCTTGTCAAACTTGACATTCAACTCCTCAAAGGTAATGCACAAGAAACATTACTTAACAAAACTTTAGCTGCCAATAACAATAGACTTGTATCGATATCATTCGATCAGGACTCTATTAACTTGAAATTATCTTATCCGCATGACGATACTTCTTATCCGAACATTAAAGAACTAACAATCAACTTGAAACAGCGTCAAATGTTACCTTATCTTTTCAAATTGGTACCAAATGTGACTCGTTTAAGTGTGCATCTCAACGAGATATCAGAAAGTTCAGCTTCTAGACATGAGTTTCTTAATGTATTGTCTCTTGTTTATCTCACTGATTTTGAGTTACATTCAATCGATCTCTTCTGGACAATCGATGAACTTACTGATATGCTTTGTTTGATGCCTTCTTTGCAGAAGTTGACACTCAATATTTGCACAAAAGACAAACGTTTAATCAATAATGACCATACTACCATTGTTTTCCCTTCTACAATTCAACAACTTCATTTATTTATTCGATACTACTGGTCTGAACAAGAAAATGATATAGATCGATTGATTAAATCGTGGACAACTAATCCCTCAATGAAATATTTATTGGATGAAGCAGAACAACGTATTCTATTTTACACTATTCCTTGTAACTTACGTTCAATCAATCTAACAGCAGTCGTTGGTAAACAAATGCCACCAGGATGGCAATATATGCAACAAGTGAAAGATCTATCTATTTACAATGTAACATCACTTACTGAAATATTTTTGATATTGCAACACTTTCATCGAATTCGCACATTGGAGATTGATGTTCAAAATACATCAGAAATTCGTATGTATTTGTTTAAATAAATATAATTAGGTAAAATCGGTAGCATATAGTTGAAAGACACATATCAAAAGCATATTTCGTATTCTTTGACAAACGGCAATAAAGATAAGACTAGTAGTTCAAAATCAGAATTATGTTTATTTCTTCTATATTTTCAGCAGAAGCGAAAAGTCTGAGCTAATTTGAACTACAGCAAAATAATTTTTATAAAATCAAATGATTGATAATGACTTGTTATTCAAGACTAGGAAAAAGGTATGATTTTTTGCAAAAAAAAAGTCAAATAAAAATCATCGTAAATAAATGAAATTCAAATTTATAACATCGAATTCATTCAATCTTCTAACAAGGTTCTTATTTCTTTCAAATCTTTTCTAATAGTCTGCTTTTCCATTGACCATATTCTATCTCTATTCTTCACAATGATCAAAAACAAAAAGAATGACACATTGTAGAGTTTTCGAAAATGAAAAATAAAAGTTCTTCAGTTTATTTACAAACTAATCATTCTTTCTATAGTTTCTAGGATGCCTGACACAGAAAAAAGTGTCCTCCGGTTACCATATCTCAAGAGATTGCAAGTCTATGGAATATTTGAACTACTCACCTTGATCAATGCATCACCAAACCTCAACCATTTATGTATTGACCACGATTGTCTCATACATCAACTTGATAACAAATCTATTTGTGATCTATTTGAGCGACAAATCATTCGTCTGGACATCTGTGAATGGGCTGGTATTGAACCAGATTCATTACAGCGTATTGCCAAAGTGTTTAAAAGTCTTAATCATCTCGTTCTTGTTCCTAAAGATTCGGCAATACTGATTGATTGGATCCCGCTAACGTTGCTAAAATCTTGGAACAGTAAAGAATTACCTTCATTAAGTGTCGCTGGTTCACCATCGAATGAAGCAAAGACAAATCTCCGACAATGGTTAATTGATAATACTCATTTGTTGACAGAGGACTCATTTGGAGTTGAATATCAGGATGACTGGTTTAATTTATGGCTTTAACATTGTAATCGTACCATGGCAGTTTTATATTTAGTATGATTACTGTGAAACATTACAAATTTGTTCTACTACCATCAATCGAGAAAAAGACTTTCACAACCAATTTTATGTTGTTTTCGCATTTGACATAACAAAAGTTTGCAAATATATCTAAAAAAAAAGGTCTTAATGGGACTAGCTTATTCTGAAAGTTTCGGATTTTTGGGTTCCTTCTACTCGGAGATACGAATATAGGAAAAAAATAGTCTTTTTCACATCACTTATAGCACAAAATGTTAAATGTTCATATTTAAGGATAGAAGAACCAAGAGATTTCAAACTTTCAGAATAAACCAGTCTCATTGAGACCTTTCTCTGCGTAAAGTTTCAAGTCGAAATTCGAAAGTTGACTTTTCAGATGAACCTGAGAGGGATCACGACATTGTGCTAAAAATCCACATCGACTCTTATGTTTGAAACACTCTATTTCAACAAGGATTTAAACGTGGATCTTTGCGCATCCACTGAAGATAGATGATCATATGCTCTACCAAATAACAAACTATAACTTGAATTGAAGTTCCAGAAAAATCTGGGAAACGAGTTGTATTACTGGCTAATACCTATTTTTCACTATACTGGGCCTAAAGAACTTTAAGAAGTCCGAATGGCCTGTAATATATAGTAAATATACAACACTGTATAACTGTATAACAACTAATGAATATAATTAGATCATCAATTTAAAACGTATATCTTCCGTATATGGTCCCGTTAATGATATTGACCCGTTTTACGTACTTTATGGTATCTGTTTTTTAACAGATACTCGTTATAAAATAGAATCCAGTATGCAATTAAATGCAACACTATGGTAGCTTCTATATTAGCTACGATATGGATGTGAGTCTCGAAAATCGATTTTGTCGCTTGCCTATCCACTGTGGCCCACACCCTATTCATACGTCGACATTAGAACATTAAACAAAAGTTAAAAAATAGAACAAACAATCTACTAGATTATGCGTTATGTAATAAAATGAGAATCCATCAAATGTGACAATTTATCATTTGAATTCTCGTACGGAATCAGAAGTTTCCAATGATGTTTACTGTCGAGATGGTATTATTTTATTCATTATGTTGATTTTTATCTTGATCATTTTTATATTCTGATGTTGTTGATATTCTCAATTCATTACGAAGATCTGATTGAAAAACTCGAATTTTTTTTGTATTTATACATAAATTCATTTTTGAAATAAAAAGATAATTTACATGTACAATTGAATAAATGCACAATCTAATAGATCTAATTTGAAACATCTACGAATTTCAATTTCTTTACTGAGAAATTTGAACTACTGGAAATAAAAAAAATAATGAAAGTTATTGATTTACACTGAGATAATCAATATTGATATTAGTTTTAAATAATCAATTACGATAAATAAAAATATTGATACTCATCTTGATTAGAAAAGATTTTTTTAATGAAAAAAATTTTTCTTCAAAATGAACATTTCCATAAATGACAAATAATGATATAATAGACAATTAAAATAAATTCATATTGATCATGTTCGACTATATTTATAAATATATAAAATATTTCATGAATTTATTTTATTTTTCTCATGATTTATCAGTGTTGTATTTCAAAATTACTTGAAGTAATTAAAAAATCAGACTATTTATAAAATCTTCATTGGTTTTACTGTAGCCTATTGATTAAATAGAGATTTATTGAAAGAAAATTACCTTAGAATTTGACGACCAATCACCAATGTTATTAACTTAGCGTTTTTAAAGAAAATTTATTTCATCATTTGTTGAATTTAATGTGGAATATCAAATATTAAAATAATTTTATTATATGTGCTTTATTGAGCTTAATATTGAATTAGACTTGGACGTCATTTTTCTATATTTAATGAGAAAATTAAAACAAAAGAGTGAAAGGAAACATATCTGATGAAATTATTTTAATCTTTAATATTTTTTTCAACAACGCACTTTTTTAAAAACTAATGTTACTAATTGAGTAAAATAAATTTTGGATGACAGCTTTGTTGTTACTCATTAAACATATATTCTCAATGTCTACTCACCTGTAGATATTCGAAAATTGCAAAAAAAAAATTAGATGGATCAGATGAATACGTGTTCAAATAGCGAAACACTAAAATGGCGAAGTAAAAAACGTCGAAAGAAAAATAACGAAAATAAAGTCAAAGGAGAACAGAAAGAAAGAGAAATAAATGTAAGATGCGACTGACTTCGATAACTATTTCTGTCAAATTACATCTTCTACTCTAATCCTTGATTTACTAATACGCGAATCATTGTCGAATGCAATTGACGCGGCGCCACTTGTATTTTTTTGTGATCATATCGGCTAAGGAGAGACTTCCTTCCTGCTATAATACTTGATGAATAATCTGTTTCTGAAAAATGGAAGCGTTGAAAAGAAGACGATCAAGTTCCATGGTAGCAATATACCTAAGGTAATACATATTTATGTTCTGAGAAACTGAGGTCTTCTATTTCTTTTGACACAAGCCAAGATTCTAATGATCTGAATCCGATATAACAAGCGTTCATAGCATTCGATAGGATTATATATAATTGAATACAACAATTTTCGAAGAATGGAGATAGTAGTGTTGAGAAAAGCACAATGAGAATATTCTACTTTTAAACAAGAACTTTGCAAGTATCTCCTTAGTTTCTTCGCTGATGAAAAAGGAAAACGAATTGTTTTCGAAAAGCTTAAGGATGTGAGCGTTGATGAAAAAAATGCTACAAACATCGATCTCACAGTCTCAACAAATCGAATTTATAGATTCGATTCAAAGTACAAGCATTCGATTCATATATGTTGCACTTCAACTGGAAAAACATGAATGTACACCAATCTAGAACCTTTTATTCTTGTGCAAAAAGAAAAACAAAATTGAATTCATACAACGATGATAATAAATAGTTGAGAATAGTCACTTCGAGATATGTTTTGGCTTCCGATTGGAATTCTATTTGTAATAATGATCGTGATTATGCGAATCTTGCTGGTCACTATGTGTGGCCTGTGTAGTGTTGCGTAAGAGTGATATCGATATTTTCATCGTCGTCGGCCTGCGAACTCCTTTGGATATTGGTCACAGTGAAGACAGAGTAGGGAAAGATGAGTACTTCTCTTTCTTTAGGATATTCAGATATACGATGAACGTCCAGACTACTTCGTTTATCTCGAATAATGTAAGTGCACATGACGCCCATTTTCACCGGTTCGCCATGAATATTATTTCGCTCAATTTTTCCCACGAAAAACTCCGCTTGGCTTTTATCGGTTGTCGCCGAGAGAAATGATTTAATCATTACTTGCTTTCCCCTTGTATACTCTTTAAGGTCGTCTTCTGTAAGACGCATTCCACGATACGCCTCACCACTGAAACGATATCGATCAAAGCAGGGATTAAAAGCAAGAATACCAATGTAGATTTGACGTTCCAATTTTCCGACATCAGTTTCACTGGCTAAGTCGACGTTGAGTTTTGTGTAAAAGCCTGTTTCTGCTGTATAAGCTTTGAGAAGATATCTTGGCTCTTTTTCACTGAGAGCCATTTTGAAAAATTGTAAGAGTTCATCGTAGTTTTCAACATCTCGAAAATGAGGTTTGATGTAATTATTCATTATTTGTTTCGCACAGGGTTCAAACTGTTGGACTCCATATTCCTTTGCAGCCTCAATGTTCCTAGCTGCCATTGCATGTGCATTCGAGGCGACTAGAAGCCATTCGACTCTACCCGAATTTGCCACATAGCGGTCCTTTCCGGGTATACGTTCGAAAAGTTCTCTAATTTTATTTGACGCAGCTTCTTCGTACGGCAGACACTTGTATTTGTTCATGATACTTCGACTGACTCCTTTCTTCAGAAGTAATTTAACCACTTCTCGATGTCCTCTAAAACAGGCGGCGTGAAGAGCCGTGCTTCCATTTGGTTCCAGTTTATTCATTTCCTCAACCGAAAGTGTTTGAAGAAGTTGTCGAAGTTTCGTAACATCATTATCCCGACAAGCCACATAGAAATCAGAGAGAGGTGTCAGTGCACTAGTAACATTTGCCGTTGCACTTGGAACAACCTAAATATGACAAATGGTTTAAAATTGCATCTTTAGTATTGGTTCAAATGATGTGAATCAACTGGCTATTCGATTTATCATAAATCATGAAAAATTTACTAATCACTTATGAGAAACTTCACATTTGAATGCAATAGCGTGTCCAGAGAACGAACATTCAGTACGAAGTGATTTCAAGCATTTTTACATTGTCCGATTACACAATTCTCTCACATATCGCACGTCTGTTATATAAGAAAACACTAATGTTAACTTCTCTTTGTTTTTCAATCTTCATCTAATAAGACCATTCTGATTGAAATCGGACTAAACTCGCGAAACTCGTTACATTCTTTACTGATGTAAAACTAAGAATGAAGAAAAACAAATTGCAACATCTAATTCGTGATGGTCTTGCCATAAGTCGTTCGGAAGAATAACTTTCTAAAGTGAGCAATAAAAGTTTTTCTTCGACGCCTATCAATCTATTCTGAGGGTATACTTTCGAGGCAACAAATGACATCGAAAATATTGAATTGAAGTTCCAATGTAGAGATATTTTTCATAGGACCAACCTTGTTAGTTTCTTGAAAGCGTTGTTGTTGTTTTCTTTGTATAAACAGTTTTTAAGATCACCCTTCACAAAGCTCTTGTATACCGATCAAATCATCCAAAATATATAACTTCTATATGCACAACGAATGCATTTCTCTCATTGTCATCGGCTTTGAAAGGACAAATCCAACGAATATTCATTGGTCGTCAGTCTGTTTAATCAAAATTTCAGAACGAGTTTCTTGACGCTATTAGTCATGTTTGATACTCTTATGAACACACTGGAGGTGAGAAACTCAAACTTAAAGTTCATTTTTTCATTATTTTTATTAGTATTTACCGATTGCTGCTAACTCTCAATACTTTCTTATCAAGCGCTTCTAAATATTTACAGTGCTCATCAATTCTACCCTTTCCTCAATTTGCAAATGATTTTCATTCGATTTCTAGTCGTTATCGTAAACATTCCGAGATTTTTGTGGGAAACATGTCTTCGAACGTTTCCCGAAGCGCAATAAACTGGATTTAGTGATCAATTTTTGTTCCACTGGCGATGGATCAATCGGTTAACCGTTTCTTTATGTGATAAATTCATGTCTTGGCGGTTTGGAATTATATCTCACGCATACTCACCGGAGGATGAGCAACAATAGTCGTCGCATCGCCCATTTTAATCAAATGAATGCTAGAATCATTGCCGATGTTATAGTAGGAAACAGCTCGATGATCATCGACTTCTGCATCGTTAATTACTATAAGTTGCTGTTCGGGTAAAATACCTTCTTGATCTTGAATCTTCTTTTTCACGTCCCTGATTGTCCAAGATGGTTCGATCTAATGATTAAAAAAGAACTAGCATCATTCACCTATTGTGGAATAAAAACAAAAACAAAATTACATCAAGTGTAATTTTACCGCCGTCCTCGGTCTTGACAGTGAGCCTCTAAAAGAAAAAAATCGACATAAATTTGAAGTGATATTATTAAATAAAGTTCTTTAGTACAACGATGTTTTTTCATCTATCCTCTATCATAATCAATGAGTTATCAACTGCGTCGAATCTGTAAATATATAGTATGTCAGTGATGATGTGAGCTCAACAAGTCAGAACAAAAACAGTTTACATTAAGTTCTCGTTTTGAATATTTCTAACGACATCTGACGCATACTGACCGACGTATGGTTCGTGCCACTTAATCCAATGTGCATTGAAATTAGAAAGACGACGGAACTGTTGTCAATACCGCAGTCAGAAAGAGTTCGATCGTCTTCCAATTCTGCGTCGTTAGCGACTAACAGTTGGTTGTTGACAGGAATACCCATCTTATGTCGAATCTTCTTCTTCACATCTCTGATCGTATTTGATGTTCCAATCTAAGGATTACAAAGCGACACTTTTATGTTTTGTAGAATAAAAAGAGAGAAGGAGATTACGTCAATAGAGATCTGTTCACCAGCTTCAGTCTTGATAAACATCTATCAGAATTAGAAAGAAGGCACGATAAAGTGATGTTCTTAAAGTAAACTGTTTAGGGCGATGTTTTAGTTTGTCCGTTGGCTGTCGTTTATATATAGATTTAATTCGTGGATTCTTAGTTGAATTGTATCTGGCAATGCAGTTGGTTGATGATCATGTATCCTAAATTAATTACGAGGCAAAAGTGAAACATGGAAGAAACAGATACAAGATATGAACAAATTAACAAGCACATACCAAATAACGACAGCTAATACGATATAGAGTAGGCAGGTCTAATTGCCCAGGAAAAAAACATTCTTTTAATAAATCGTTTGTAACTCAAATTCTCAACATCCTACAAAGTTGCAATATAGTTTCCCGGATAGAGCAAATAATTCTCTATCGATTGATATATCATTCATTAGAAAATAATTGGTTAATGTCCACGAGACAAAATGTCAAAATTCGACAATAACTGACTCCTGTCGTATTTTGATGCTTTGTTTCCTAGACATTGCCCAATTATTTTCTAATGAACTATATATCAATCGATAGAGAATTGTTTACTCTATCCGGAAAACTAAATTACAATTTTGTAGGATGTCGAGAACTTGAGTTACAAAGGATTTATTAAAGGAATGTTTTTTCCGACACAATTAGGTCTGCCTATTCTATGCATCAAAAAAGCATTCGAAAAGTCTCGATGTTATAAGAGACCACGCCACATAAGTGACGCATGTTATAGCACCTATGGATGTTGGAGCGGTATCCCGCATGATTAAGATGGTTTTATCAGTCCGAATCACGATCCTAGTTTGAGTTGGGACAATCGGGATCGAAATGAGTCATTGCAAGTTAGTTGGGAATCGTGCATAAAAGCTGACAAAGCACTCGGTGGATTCAAAGCTATTCTAAGAACGAACTTTGTTTTGGTGCCATTCATCGATCGACTGTGCAGTAGAGGGAAGCGTAACACATGGTTTGGGAGTAGAGTTTGATTATGATCGTGTGTTATGAAAAATGATCGTCTCTACTGATTAAAAACATGCGCAATTTTGTTTCACTTCTATTTCATCTTATACAACGCTTTATGTTGTTCTGTTGCTTAAGAACAACGAAAAATAACTATACTGTGAATGTGTCGAAAATATAATGCGATAAGCAGTGACCTTTACTGTTGCTTTCTTTCTGGGCAGACGACACGTGTTTTATGGTGTCCTTTATTACGGAGCAATGCATGCGTTATTGTACTCCAACTTATGCATACCACTCTTTGTATTAGCGAACGATGAAACATTGTCAGTATTCTTGATTCAAGAGTTGATCTGTCTTCTCAGCAAGCTGAAGGAGTTTGAGAAATGTATACTCACATAAAACTTTTTAGCGTGAGAAGTTGCTACGTGCAAGTTTATCACGACAGCTTTTAAGACAGACGTTATTGTGCTCACACAACTTTTTCGTAAAATGTGAGAACAACATTCGCTATTTATTGCTAGAGAAGGAGTATTGCGCACAATACTCGTTAAAAGAAAAGCAAGAACACGTGGCTTACTATGCTACCTGTAACGAAACCCTCAAGCATCACCTCTCTTTTCTTTCAAAGCTTGAAGAACAGGTAACCTTTTATTTCTTTGTTGTTGAGAAATTCTCTTTAAAGGGGCCCCCTCTCTCTAAAATCAATTTTTTTTTCGAGCATCCAATCACAATGAAATTTTCAGTGGAGGAGTATCTCAAGCTAGACAGGTTATGGGTCAAAATTTAGGTTTGCGTGTGTCCCAAATTTCTCCACCATTTCCAATGCTAGAATGTTCGAGCTGGCTTTAAAATGTAGCCAATATGTGGCTCTACAACTGAACAGGGCCCGATTTTTCGATTCTCTCCTAGCTTGTAGTTTTAGAAGACTTCTCTGATGAAATATTAAAAAGCCAATGAGGGTAGATTCAGAAAAGTTAGTTTCTTATAAACACTAATGAGGAAATCGAAAAATCCGACTCTGTTAAGTTGTCGAGCTAATTTTTTCCTTCATTTTGACACCATGCCCAGCTTTCTAGCGTTTAAAATGATGGAGAAATCTGGGACACACGGAAACATAAATATCAAAAATCTTGTTTTGAGAAAAAACCTTATTTTCTTCTATGAGAGGTTCAGAGAAGCCTGTGCAATATCCTTAAATCTCATCATAAAATCAATAAACTATAATGCATTCGAAAGTAGACACTTAGCTCTATCTAACGATCTATAAATCACAAAATCGACAAATTTGACCAAAATTGACATTTTTTGGGGAAGAAGGTCCCCTTAAAGTCTGGTATTTAAAACGTCGAAATAAATCTACATCTATTGAATATCTTTTAACTCAACGAAAAGTATTTCGATCAATACATTATTTTCAAAAACATCAGACAGGATCAACGAAATTTAATTGACATTTGTGTAGATCTTACTGATTTGATGACTATATATCGCGATACAAGTGTGAAAACCAGAGAAATAATAGAGTAAATAGTGACTATTAAAAATGATATAAAGAAAATCGACGAAGAATTAAAGAATATTAATTATTGTATGAAGACTTTACAGAATACACTCAATGTTTTATTGGATAGAGCCACGAAATAACATACTAATATTGCTATATTATTCTTTGAACAAATATAATAAATATTCAGTTTTGTTTTATAATGAAGAAGCAATTTATAAAAAAGAAATCACGTTTAAAGAAGTAGAAGTGTATCGTATAATCAGCAATGTGTCTTATGTATTCTTGTTGTGATATAGTCGAAGAGATCAATCTTAGTTTTCTGGTCAAAGAACAAATTTATAATCGATGAATTCATCGGTAAAAGTCTGATGATTTTTTTGTATGTATATACATAATTGTCTTTTGCATTTGCTACTATAACTCTTTTGTCATGCATTTCTTTATTACAAATACGTCATGTTTAATATTTTTTTTGGCGATCATAGCGCTAACATCATTGCCGACGTAGTGAAGTTGAAGGATCAAGAGGGTATACCGGAATTTATTTTTTTGGGATTTGTTAAGATTTATTAACTGTGTCAATATTTCAGTGTACTTACACTGCAGGTATGCGCGCATGTATTGAGAAATTGTGTGAAATTTATTCCAAAATACATAAGGACCCATTAAAAAATCCCAATAAATCCGAAAAACATAAATTCCGAGGGTGTGGGTGTGAGCAAACGCAAGAATCACAGCCACCTACACCCATGCCAATGCACGTTTTTCAGAAAACCAGTTTTCTGTGATGGAAATACTTTTTGTTCTTTAACGAACGTTTAGACTAAAACTAATGAAGTTCTTAGTTTCTCCAAATTTTTTATAGAATCTGTATAAATTTTTAGATTCAATCGCAACGTAATGTCACTTTTTTTTATGAAAATTTTACTCCGATGATACAGTGCACACCTATGTTTAGCAAAGTGTCGAAGTTTGTCGTTTTGACCATACACTAACTAGAAATTAAAGGAAGAAACCATTGGACAAAGATATCTGATGATTCGATGTTATGAATAATTCATTTCATCAAAGCATTCAGGTCTGAAATGATTTTTATCAATTGTACTATTTCTTGAGAACACATAAATCAAAGTGTTTGAACTTATTCATTGTCTTTTTAAAATTTGTCATTTTTCAGATCAATGTTTCATCATATGAAATATATTGGATTTCATCGATCTAAAAGTTCCATTAGTTGTTGATTGAGAAAAGATCGATTTGAATTATTAACATCTTCGCCATTTCCATTTGTTATTTGATTGAATGAAGAGCTTGACGTAATGAATTTTGTTATTGTTTACTCAAATAATGATCCAATATATCATAATGAAGAATCTCAAGAATGGTTTGATAGAGTAAAAGTTGTGGATCACGAAAAACTGATTCTTGTTATTTCTGAATGTTCTTTTCGGATGGAAAAAATTTACAAAATTGGTACTTCAATCAACAATATGATACATTTACGTTTGCATCAGACATAAGATATCAGTGATTATAATACGATGCATTATTGAATATGAATAAAAAAAAAGAAAATGCTCTCAAATATCTTCATATACCTTGTATTATTTTCTGAAAAGAAGTGCACACTTTTCGTTCCAAAGTCAATCTTTTTTTTTCAAATGAAACTGAACAAATAAAACCTATTTATTAATGTTTCAAAAATTTTCGATAAAACTATTTGGATAGTAGTTCTTTTAAAGTAAAAAATTTTCTTTTCAGTACATTTTTTCTGTTACCAAACAACAAAATGATTTCATCTTATACGGAAGACCAACGGGCTTTACATGATTATCAAAAAATAGGCAAAGCTTATAGTAAAATCTGGTTTATATTTTAAATTGGAAAAAATTTCATAAATTCTAAAAAAAGGATATTTTTGGTTATTGATGTAATGCTTGATTAAATAAAATGTTCATCATAATTAAGGTTTTTATAGTTGCTCGTTAAATAATAATTGTGTTCTTCGCTCAGCTTCTTTCTTGATCTGGCCTTGTTGAATATGCATTGGTAAACCTGGATCGAGACTCACAGCGTAGGACATTGGATAGTCCTTTGTTTGCTCTATGCAAATTCATAAAAAAATTCTGAACCTGTTAGCATTAGCAAAAAAAAATACAGCTCTCACTAAAAAAAAAACGAGAAAAACACGAAAACATCAGTAGGACTGATCTTGTTTTGCATCTGTAGCACCTACATAATGGAAGTCGAAGAAAAGGCCGCATTTGCAATTTTGTAGAGCAAAATTCGCTCTATCAAATGAGATATTACTCGAAAAGATTCTGGTAGCTTGCTATGAAGGAAATAATCAAGTACTGACTAGCCAAGTTCAGCATAAAAAAAAATTTTCTTCAAAAAACTTGTTGCAGGTCTGTTCAGTCTTTACTTCATAACTTTTTAGGGGCACGTTAGAATGAGCTAAAAACTTGGATTTAGAGGTTTTCGATGACGCTCTTTCATTTACAATCAAAAAGTATAGGGAGGTCAAAATTGTCA